TAGCCACTTGAGCCACAGGCGCCGAGCCTAATCATTTATTTTTGAGACAAGGTTTCACTTTGTTGCCTGGTGTTATCATAGCTCATTACAGCCTCAACTCCTGGGCTCAAGTGATTCTCCTACCTCAGCTTTCTAAGTAGCTGGGACTACAGGCATGTGACACCAGACCTGGCTAATTTTTAATTTGTAGAGGTAGGGTCTTACTATGTTGCCCAGGCTGGTCTCAAAACTCCTGGCCTCAAGCAATCCTCCTGCCTTGGCCTCCCAAAGTGCTGGGATTATGGGCATGAGCCACTGTGCCTCGGAAGTACACTTAAAGAGCAAGCTACTCCCTTTCTTCACCTCCATTCACACTCAGTTCCCTAGAATCCATTCCCCAAAGGCCTCACTTCCTAATACCATCTAGTGTGTGTGTGTGTGTGTGTGTGTGTGTGTTAAGATTTCAACATATGAATTTGGGGGCATACATTCTGTCCATAACAACATGTGCTTTAGTTACTCAAGCCTGAAAGTGGGGGTCCTCCTAGACAGCTCCCCAAGCAATGACGTTCTTGGGGAACTTCTCTCATCTCCTAAATAGCTTTTTTTTTTTTTTTTGAGACAGGAGCCTCCAGCTGTTCCCGTGGGTAGAGTGCTGGCATCACAGCTCACAGCAACCTCCAACTCCTGGGCTCAAGTGAGTCTCCTTGAGACTCCCAGCCTCCCAAGTAGCTGGGACCACAGGCGCCTGTCACAACATCCAGCTATTTTTTGGTTGCAGCCATCATTGTTGTTTGACCGGCCTAGGCTGGATTCGAACGTGGCTGGCACCTTAGCCACTTGAGCCACAGGTGCTGAGCCCCTAAATAGCTTTTTAAAGCTAAAGAATCCCATCTCCTAACTAGGTTTTTTTTTTTTTTTTTTGGAGACAGAATCTCACTTTATCACTCTCAGTAGAGTGCTATGGTGTCACAGCTCACAGCCACCTCCAACTGTCCTGGGCTTATGCGATTCTCTTGCCTCAGCCTCCTAAGTAGCTGGGACTACAGGTGCCCACCACAGCACCCAGCTATTTTTTTGTTGTTACAGTTTGGCCGGGGTCAGGTTTGAATCTGCCACCCTCAGTATATGGGGCCAGCGCTCTGCCAGCTGAGCTGCAGGTGCTGCCCCTCTTAACTAGGTTTTTAAAATGTCCTTTCCTGCTTCATTCCCTCTACCATTAACAAAGTTCAGAGTCTCAGAACTTCTACAATTTTAACCTCTGAACTGATCCCCATCCCTCCCCTCATCTATTCCTGTTTGTCTATCCACCTAATGGGTCTTAAAAAAAAATGTTCATATTGTTTTTCCTTCATAATCCTTCAAAGGTGCATATCCTCCGGTTGGCATGACTTGTAAGGTTCTTCAAGATTTTCCAGAAAGCAAGGCTAAGCCTAAATTTACAACTTCATGTTTAGCTATTCCCCCACAGGAGTGGCATATTTCTTTTTTTTTTTTTCTTTATTATTATTATTTGAGTGGGAATCTCGCTCTGAGGTCCCTGCTAGAGTACCATGGTGTCAGTCTAGCTCACAGCAACCCCAAGTTACTGGGCTCGAGGGATCCTTCTGCCTCAGCCTCCGCAGTAGCTGGGACTACATTTGTGTGACACGACGTCCAGCTGATGCGGGGAACATTCTTGAAATATACCACAGTCCCTAAAATAAAATAAAGTAAAAAAAGAAAACCACAATCCCAAGTCACTGCCTCCTTCAGGAAGACCTCCCTGAAGGTCAGGCTGGGTGGCTCTCACGGAATTCTGAGATACTCAAGTTTCCAGAGACTAACGTCCTTGAGGACGGTGTTTTAGTCCTCTTTACAGCTGGAATACTTTTAGCACTCTGCCTAACACAAAAAGGACGCTGGACCCTTTGATTACTTTAGCTGAATTTCGCATCCATCCGACTTTTGTACAGCCTTCCTTGGCTGCTCAAGCCTGAATTCCTCTATGAGGCGTTCCCTGGCCCGTCCAACTAGTTAGAAGGTGTGACTCCTTCACCCCCCCGTCCCTGACTTTAACAAATTATAGTTTAGTAGTTTACACAACCACCTGCCGTTAATGCTAACACTTTCATTTTTCTTGCTAACAGCTGTACCCATCTTCCAGGCTCTGGCCAAACTCACTTCCTCCATTTCCCAGTTCGCTGGTCCCTCGAAAGGGCTCTTCCCTTAGCTCAGCCTGGGATGCGTCTATCTCGTACTCAGTATTCCGCGGTCACAGCGGCCCTCCCCACCCTCCCCCGCAGACTGCAAACCAGAGGGGTCAGGACGCCGGCCACAGATGCGGCCCTAAAGCAGCTCCAGGAAATCCGGCGGAGACAGCGCGCTTTACACTCGCCAGCGGATCCGACCGCCCTGAAAAGGCGGGCTCCGGGGCCACAGCGGCTGCGACCCGGACCAGTGGGGCGCGCGGGGGGGAGAAGCAGCTCCGCCCTGCCGACGCCCACGCAGGCGCAGAGGCGGCCTCGAGCACGTGACGCGTGAGCCGCGGGCGCCCAGGGGGAGGGGCGCGGCGCCGCTAGCTTGGGTCTGGCGGCTCGGCAGGTTTGTTCCGGAGCTGCTTAGACGCAGCCAGCCGGCCCCCAGTAAATAAGAATCAATAGAAGTCTGTGAGGAGACGAGGCGAGAGCCGCGGGTGTCGTTTTGAGAGCTACTAAGGCCCAGCTTGTCCTTGGCTGGGGCAGGACTGCGGTCCTCAGCTCACCCTCTACGCCAGAACTGGGCTGGAGGAGTCCCGCTTTCTGGAACGTTGTCTTGGCCCCGGTCTTAGAGGACTGGTCTGTCTGGACCCGAGTCTTCGTTCCGCTTCTGTCAGTTCCTCCCTTGAGCTGGGGGCTTCTGGGGGCAGCTGTGAGAGTTCCCTGTCACCGCCACCCTCTGCTCCAGCTCAGCACTGGGGCCACTGTCCCCTCCCTCTAGCACGGGCACGATGCTCTCCCACCTGAGCTCCTTGGCTCCTTCCTGGGTAGCTGCAGATCGAACACATCCTCTCCTTGAAACTGCTGGGGGTTAGACCCTGTGGATGAGGCAGTGGTGACCAGCTGCAGGTTCCAGCCACTACTGGAGGAGGGCCACCAAAGAGCCTTTTAGCCTTGATGCTTGTGCACAAACTGTCCCTGACCCTCCACTGCTATCCTGGATAATCTCCACCCTCAGGCCAGAGGCTTCTCCCCAGGCACCCTCCCTGGCCCTGGCCCTGCTCACAGCCCCTGTGTGGGGGGTGGGGCACCGGCTACGCTCATGGACCGTGAACAGAAGGGGCAGTGTGTTTCTGATGTGTTACCCCTCCCAAGCCTAGCACGGTACACACAGATAGGAGTTCAATAAATGGGTGTTGAAGGAAACAAGTATGGGCTGTAACATTTGTTTTGTTTGGTTTTTTGTTTGAGGCAGACTCTCACTATGTTGCCCTCGGTAGAGTACTATGGCGTTACAGCTCACAGCAACCTCCAACTCTTGGGCTTAAGCAATCCTTTTGCCTCAGCCTCCCAAGTAGTGGGACTACAGGCACCCGTCACAATGCTCGGCTGTTTTTGCTGTTGTTGTTGTTGCAGTTGTTTAGCTGGCCCAGGCTGGGTTTGAATCCACCACCCTTGGTGTATATGACTGGTGCCATAACCACTATGCTACAGATGCAGAGCCGAATCAGCTGTGGCATTTGGGGGGGTGGGGTGGGGAGGCTCACCGAGGCTATGCACTCGATCCATTTCACCTTGAATCCTGATAGCCAGCTAACAAGGTGGCACTCCTTTTAAGATGTTTGAATAAATTTAAGATGACAAATAGTGAAATCAAGCCCTTTAGTTATGGTCTTAGCACCCAGCCTATGGGACATCTGCCCAGTTCCCCGAAAGAAATCCAGGCAGACTGAGGTTGTGTGTTTGGTGTGTGGTAAAGACAATGAGGACTGGCTCGGCGCCTGTGGCTCAAGCTGCTAAGGCGCCAGCCACATACACCTAAGGTGGTGGGTTCGAATCCCCAGCCCGGGCCCGCCAAACAACAATGATGGCTGCAACCAAAAAATGGCCAGGCATTGTGGCAGGCGCCTGTGGTCCCAGCTACTTGGGAGGCTGAGGCAGGAGACTCGCTTGAGCCCAGGAGTTAGAGGTTGCTGTGAGCTGAGATGCCATGGCACTCTACCCAAGGGGATAGCTTGAGGCTCCGTCTCAAAAAAAAAAAGACAATGAGGACTCCAAATCCAAGAGGTGTTTACTATAATGAGTGCTGAGAAGGGTGGGGCAGGGCGGAGTTCCCCTCATCCAAGGCTCTGGGGTGACTCATTCTGCTTTGGGCTCAAGGGTGGAGCCGATTTTTGTTCCCCCAGTTGGGCCCTGCTCCCCCTGGCCCTTGGCATTCTCAGTGTCTCCAGCCACAAGAGCCACATTCCTCAGATAATTGGTGTTGAAGCAGTTGACCTGCTCATCCCCAGGATTCAGGTCGCAGCAGAAGGCAGGATCTCGCCAGAAGTTACGTCGGGGACCACAGAGATCACTGATGAAGGCTAATTTCTGATGAAAGAAAAGAGTGAAACATGATAGTAGAGGGGTGGTCAGAAGTCAGATGGTAGATACTTGGGTGCCCAAAGTTCCTCTTCCATCAGCTTCTGCTCTCCCTCTGGATGACTTCTGGGGGCTCACAGAGTGCAAGGCTGCCTTGCACAGCTGGATTCCCTGTGACTGACAGATGTGCACATCTGGAAATACCAGAAGCTTGAGGCCCAGAGAAGGCGTACATAGGCACTTAGGAAGAGGGAGCAGGCCAGGTCAGGAATGAAGACTCTGGCAAGAGAAATATCTCCCCACTAGTCCTTGTTATTCCTGGGGACCGGTTTGAAGTACTAAAGAGAATGGGTAGCCTGTAGTTCTAGCCTTCTCCCCACGCCCATGCATGCCTAGAGACTGTGCCCCACATACACACACACCTCCTCTTCGGCACAGCAGGCTTGCTCTGGAAATGGCAGTTCACAGCAGCTGGCTGTCATGTTCTGGATCAGACCAGGAATCTGTTTACTGTTTTGGGGTGAAAGAGGCAGCAGTCAGTATCTTTGGGCAACCTCTGGCATCAAAATGATGTTGAGACACACCATGATTTATGCTCTTCCCTAGGGTACCCTGGAAGGCAGGTTTTTGAGAAGGGAAGAGAGTTGAGAAAGAACTGGGTAAGACTCACTGCTTGGTGAGAACTCTTTGTTTCCCACAGAGGTAGCCCATGAGATTGGGGGTGACTCGGCTGATGTCAACGGTCAGGATGTCCCGGTCATAGTTGGGATATGGAGCCCGACGGGCAAAGCACTCATCTCGAGCAGGGCTAGGAGGGTAGTGGCAACACGAGTAGGGGTGGGTCTTTACAGCATGCTCTTGGTCACAGTATCGATCGAGGCTATCCTCCCACTGTGGGCCAGGGACAAGGAAATCAGAAGCCTGAACTCTCTGCCCCTTCTTTCCTGATTGTCTACATCCCTTAATGCTCCCAGCTATAAGATGAGGGGCTCCTGGCCCTAAGAGCCAGGAAGGGAGCAAAGAATTAGAGGTCAAGGAGGCAGCTTGGATACATAGGGTTGAGAAGGTTAAAGCCTAAATGCAGTTCCTAGCTGACCAGGGGAGATGAGCTGGAACAGCAGATGGAGAGGGTCAGGTGAGGCTAGAGCTGGACGGATAGACGGATGGATGGATGGACGGTAGGCAGGAGCATGTGCAGAGTCATGGGTAGACGAGGCCAGGAGCGTAGTATGAAGGCTCAAGATGAACACAATGGATGGAGCCACAAGCAGACGAGCAGATGGATGTGCTCACAGCAGGGAGGCACATGGATGGACGGACTGGCAGGATCAGAAGTTGGAGATGGGCAGGCAGGCAGGCTGGATTGCCCACTTACGGCCTTCCATGTACAGGTGTGGTTGTCCCCCTGGCGGCAGCAGCGCTGAAACTCCCCCTCCAGCCAGGTCAGAACCTGCAGCTGCCTTTGAATGGGGTCAGTAGCAGGGAGGTTTCGTGGCACAGAGCGGAAGCGTCTCAGGTGGCAGATGTTCTTGACATTGTCCAATGTGGGCACCCCAGGGGGGAAAGGCAGCTCGAGGCCCGAGGAAATACCAGACTGGTGGTTGGGGCAGGCCCGGAGCCGATAATGTGGCTGGGGAGCTTCCTTCTGGAAGCAGGAGAATCGAGCCTCCCCCTGCTGTTTGCAGCACCAGTGGGCTCGAGTCTTGACCGAGAACTCGGCCTCACAGAACCGGGTCATTGCATCCTCCCACTAGAGCAAGAGGGGTGGGTCAGCTCGGCAGCCCAGTGTCCACATTCCTGCCTTCCTCCCAGGCTCCAGGAAAGGACTCTGGGTAGGAATGCAAGAAGTAGTGGCTGTCCTCTGCTCTCCTAGAACTCTGCAGGGGCCAGGGTAGGGCCAGTGAAGGGGACCTGAAGTTCCTCCATACCCAGGCCTAGGTCACTAGCCCTTAAGACATATACACACTGTTTGGGGGTTAAAGGATACCTCCCCCACCCAGAGCCCAGTCCTTACCACAAGCTTTGCACAGTCCAGGCGCTGTGTATGGCTGCGGCAGCGGCAGCAGCGGGAGTATCCAGTCTCCAGGAAATTGAGGGTCTCACCCTGGCGAGTAAGGTGGGAGTAGCCAGACTGTGGTAGGTTCCAGGGGCCATAGAGCACATGCTGGCGGTCAGGAAGGCAGATCTGGTTCAGGTTATCTGAGGAAGGCTGCCCAGGGGGGAAGCCATCCAGCCGGTGGCTCCAGCCCCCTCTGGATCGGCCTCGTTGGCAGTGCTGGGCTGGATTCCAGGTCTCAGGTTCTGGGTGGGATTGGCTCACAAGTGCAGCTGGCTTGCCTGGGATTGGGGGTGGGGGAACATGTGGAGTAATAAACAAAGGCTGTATGAACTGAAGAATTTGAGGTTGAGGAGAAAGGGTTGGGAGGATATATGGGAAACAAGGAGGAAATTAATTATTTTTGGACTAAAAGGAAAAGAAAATTGAGGTAGGGAGGGTGGCATCCTCACAGCTTCCCCCATCACCTCCCTAATCTAGCCTCTGCCCTATGCTGCTGCCCAAGGCGCAGGCTCCTGGCTTCTCTGCCCAGGGTCCTGAGTGCTAAGACAGGGTATGGGCAGACCAAAGCACTCACCCTCTCTCTGCTTTGGTTGGAAGATCATTTCCGCCTGTGAAAGAGCTGGCTCTACTGTAAAAGAAGTAAGAAAAAGTCATGTGGATGGGCATCTTCAAAAGAGAGGGACTTGGCTAGTTCCCATGTGTAAGGTAGAACTCAGGAGAGAGGAGAGTGAAAATAAATGTAATTTTATGTCATCTATTCACATAACTTTATAAAATAGGTATTTCCCTCAATTTTACAGATGAAGAAACTAAGACTCAGAGTGGGTAATTTTCTCAAAGTTACACAACTAGTAAGTGACAAAGCCCACCATCTTGCCTAGCTCCAAAGCTTTGGGGGAAGGCTGCGAGGTTTATGGGGGTGGGTAAAGAGGAGATGGGGTTACTTACCTTCTTTCTGTTCAATAGAGAGTTGAGGAGGGGGCAGGTTTTCTTCTTGGGCAGGGATGGCTTCCTGAGGGTGAGGGAGGTCTGCTGTAAGGTAGAGGTGAGGGCACAAGGGAGCATGGATCAGACTGGTGTCAGCAAGACCCACAGTGGAATGGTGGCAAGGGAATAGGCAAGCACTCACCTGTCTTTTCTAAAGGGACTTGGGGAGGGGGCATCTCTTCCTCTTGGACAGGGATGGCTTCCTGAGGGGGAAGGGGCTGCACTACAGAAGGGGGAATGTGTAAGGAGCCCACCCTTTCTCCTAGCCAGGGCCAGGAGAGGGGCGAGTCCTCTTCCCTCCTCTCTGAAGAGCAGGAGGGAAGCTGGATCAGAAACCTGGATGGTAACTGAGAAGGATGTGTGGTGGTCTTACCTTCACTCTGTCCCTCCAAGAGAGGGCCATGCTGAGAGGCATCAGGGTGATCCATGGGGAGGCTTTGGCTTAGGGGTGGAGAGGGGGGTGCTGCATAGCCAACTAGAGGCAAGAGGAGAGATGGTCAGAGCCCACAGCTCCTTCTGGACTCCCAATCCTATCCTGCTCCCACAAACGCTTTGTTGCCTGCAGTAGACTGCCATGGAGTCATTTTAGCTCCCAGCAACCTCAAACTCTTGGGCTCAAGCGTTGCTGGAGCCTCTTGAATAGCTGGGACTACAGGTGTATGCCACCGCGCCTGGCCCTAAATTTACCTTCGTGAAAGTGCTGCATAAAGTGCTCTGGCCTCAGCTCCCTCTGTCCTGGAGCCTTGAGGTCTGGAGGGAGGAAGGGCAAGTCAGGGACAATTATGGGGGTCCCTTTCCTGACCCTGAACAAGGGCTGGGGAGGCCAAGAGTATAGGACAAACAACTGAGACATGAGAATCCTTCATGTGGACCTGTCTTGTGGCCCCTACCCGCAAACCCTCCTAGGTTCTGACAAAGCCTGTGATATTCTGTAGCTCTGCCTCTACCTGGTTCAGAGGCTGGGCCTAAAGGGAATTATTAAGGAGGGAGGCCCTAATTTCCTCTGCTGGTGTCTTTCCCCTGGGAATTTTGGATGGTTTTCCACTTTAGCCTCTGCAGTGAGGTTTCTCTGGCTTTCAGAGGAAAATGTCTGGACTCGAGCTGGTTGAAACCTCACCTGCCCACCTCCCCTCCTCCTCCAGGCTCTAGAAATGTTTTTTTTTTTTTTTTTTTTTTGCAGTTTTTGGCCGGAGCCAGGTTTGAACCTGCCACCTCTGGTATATGGGGCCGGTGCTCTACTCCTTTGAGCCACACGTGCCACCCTAGGCCCTAGAAATGTTTTTGGACATCTTTCTGACAAGGAGTCCATCTAGAAGTTGAAGTGTCTCTCCTTCAGTTAGTCTCAAACTTAACCTCCTTAGTTTAGGTCTCAATTTAGGACCTGAGGGACTGTGACAGGCACAGGGAAGGGAGTTACTTGTAGTGGATCTATAGGCACAAAAGACAGGAACAAAGGCTTTACAGAGATACAAACTAGACCTATTGACATTCTCTCAAAATTCTCTCAGGAGTTCCTTGTATTGTTCAGGCATCAAAGCAGATAAAGATCAGTGGCTCTGTGAGCAAAGGCGAAACAAGTAAGAAAACAAAATGAAAAAGAAATAGCATATCATCTATGTGTATATGACTTAATAATAAAAATAAATAAAATTTAAAAAAAGAGAAGCTAGAAAAAAATAGATAACAGCATATGTGCTAGGTAGAAGGTGGGTCTGTGGACGGATGCCCCTCCACCCTCCTGTCACCAGACAGGATTCAGTCAAGGCTCCCAAGTCTGCCAGTCAGGTTTGAGCAGCCTGAGGGGCCCTTTTCCCACCACACACATCCTACCTGATGGCATCCTCTTTGGCAGAGGTCCCTTCCTCTGAATCCACCCACCCCCACAGTTGTCAACTTGACTCCAATTTGATGTTTCTTGGCAGCAGCTTCTAGGAGCCCCTGCCCCCACTTCCCTGGCTAAGGGCTCCAGTGTCCCAGGCTCCTTGCAGGCCTGCCCATTAGAGGGAGGCCAAGTGGAGAAGGGTTGCTGGGGATGAGCTGTCTGGGATGCCTAGACCCAGACTCCACCTGTGCTGACTGGGACACCTTCCCAAGTGCTGACCCCCTGACTACTCACCACCCTCGGAGGCGACAGAAGCCACAGCCAAATAGGCCAAGACCCAGGCTGCTCTGGACATAGTCCCCATCCTGGGGTAAAGTCTGGTCACTGGCCACCTCACAGGTGGGTTCTCTTGGCAGATCTGGACTGGAAGGGCCGAGCTGCTGGGAATCTGCTTCTCTGGTTGTTGTTACTGCTGCTGTGAACCTCAGGCCAGCTCCTTCTCCTTCTTATATGGTTTATCTCCCGCCCTCCTCAGCTTCCTGCCATGACTCAGTCCCAGCGGCTCCTCCCAGTCAGCCACTCCTCCCAAGTCACCCTGAAGCCTCCTGAGAGGACTGAGAAGAATGGGGGTGATGGGAGGGGAGCATTCCTATGACCCCAAGAGAAACTGATTCAGAGAATCATGGAGGAAGAGATGTCTGAGCCCTTAGTCTGTGCCTCAATTTCTCTGTCTGCACTCTGCCTTCTGTGGAAAAGGGGTATGACAACCTACTGAATTGGGAAGTGGGATACAGGACAGCTTTTTGTAAGAGATCTAGACAGTCCTTTTTAAATTTCTCCAACTTTCTGGGACAAAAGGAAGAGAGAGAACTTCCTTTTATTTCCTCCTCTGAGAAGTCAGAGATGAAGACACATACCCAAGAGCTTTAAGTTTATTTTTTTTAGTTTCACTCTCCTTACATCCAAATAGCCAGAGCCTCCTTCCCTCTGTGGGGTCCCCTAGGCGAGCAGACACACGCCTCCACTGAGTTCTGAGGGTCCTCAGGGACTCCAGACCGCCAGTTATGTTGGGGCCTCCCATGTCACTGGAAGCTACTGGCTCTTGCAGGCTGGTCTTTGTCTCATCTACGTACAAACACTCAGAAAACTTCTTCAGCATTTGGGGCCCTGCTGTTCTGAAGTTCTACCAGGCGCTGCACAGCCGCAGTCAAGCCCCACTCTCCATGGCGACGGTTGTCTCGGGTCCGAATATTCACAGTTCTCTTACTTTGCTCTTTTTGGCCAACCACTGCAGGAAGAGGAAGGGAAGTTTAGGAATTTCAGGGCAAATCCATCCACATGGGATACTTCCTTTTTTTATGCAGAAACTTAAGAGACCTAAATCTTTTTTTTTTTTGAGACAGAGCCTCAAGCTGTCCCCCTGGGTAGAGTGCCATGGCATTACAGCTCACAGCAACCTCCAACTCCTGGGCTCAAGCGAGTCTCCTGCCTCCGCCTCCCAAGTAGCTGGGACCACAGGCGCCCGCCACAACGCCCGGCTATTTTTTGGTTGCAGCCGTCATTGTTGTTTGGCGGGTCCGGGCTGGGGATTCGAATCCGCCACCTTAGGTGTACGAGGTGGCGCCTTAGCTGGTTGAGCTATAGGCGCCGAGCCAAGAGACCTAAATCTTTAGGAAGGGTGGGAACGTAGCCCAGATATGGTTCAAAAAAGGAAATATTTAGCTGTCACCCTGAGGAGATGGGAAGATGTTCCAATCCCTGCTTGCCCTCTTACTTTTGGTCAGGAGCCCAGGGTCAGAGACACTAGAGTCCGGCAAAGACAAACAAATGGAGAACCAGACACAGAGCATGTGTGCATTTGCGTGCCTGGGTGGTGATCAGAGGAAGGGGAAGAGGGCAGGGGTGGAACAAACATGGATAAGCATGTGTGTACGGGACTGTGGCACAACCTGCTCCAAGTGCTCCCAGGGCAAATGGGGTGTGTAAAACTGGAGAATCAGGTAATTTGGCTAAGGAGTTTCTGTTCCTTGCCTTAGGGTTATAGCTCTGAACCCCAGAAAATAAAAAGAAACAGGAGCATGGCAGTGCCAGACCTTTGTTCTTAAGGCCTTTCTCCTCATCCCCGAGGTCTGACTCCATTGAAACCCTTAGTGCCTCCATCTAGGTCTAGAATAAACAAGGTTAATTAATTAATGCCTTATTAACCCTTCCTGTCCCTTTCTCTTGATGTTTCCTTGGTTAATTACCCTAACAGACACTAAGAGCTAGAGTGGGGTTAAAACTATCCTAAGGGTCAGAAATGGTTGAGAGAAAGGTGGAGCAGCATGAAGGAACATAGGGCTCTCCATGAGTCAGGTGTCCTGAATCCTGGCTCCTACCAAGCTCAGGTAATGAGCCCTGATGAACCCAAATATGCAGATACCCAACCTTAGGAGACTTAACAGAAAGAATCCAGAGGACAGGTAGGAGAACATAGGCTCTGGGACCCTAGGCTGACCCATTTGCTTACCAAACTGAAAATTGTAGTGGGCAAGCTGAGCCCGGCGGACTCTCCTGCTGAGGGTCAGCCCAGAGTCAGCATCCAGGTCACTGACCAGTCCAGCAGACTGTAAGCTCTGTTGTGCCTGGAACAGAGGGTTGGTGACTGAAGTTAATCTAGTGGAAGGCTGAGGAGCTAGAGCAGTCTGGTGGCACTCTCAGTCCCCATTTATTGCTCCTTCATCAGTGCCGTCTAGTTCTGACAAACCACTGGATCTCCTCTCTGCACTGAGGCCTCCTCCCCATCCCTAAGCCCACAACTTTTTTTTTTTGGCCAGCACTGGGTTTGAACCCACCACCTCTGGCATATGGGACTGGCACCCTACTCCTTGAGCCACAGGCGCTGCTCAGCCCACAACTTTTCCGTCTGCTTCTTACTGGAGATGAGCCCTCAGCTACTTACTCCCTGGACTTTGCCTGCTTCCAGCCACCACTCTACCTAACCAGCTACTCAACTCTGGAACTGCCCTGTCAATTCTCTCTAGGAAGGAAAAATGAAGCTGACATTCCACCAAGCCCACTTTGGTGGAAGTGCTCTGTTGCACTTTTTTGCAACAGAGCATTGTTTATTTTATTTTGGGCACCCACTGAGCCACAGGCACTGCCCAAACAGAGCACTGTTTCTGTTTATTTTTTATTTTATTTTTTTTTGAGACAGAGCCTCAAGCTGTCACCCTGGGTAGAGTGCCATGGCATCACAGCTCACAGCAACCTCCAACTCCCGGGCTTAGGCGATTCTCTTTCCTCAGCCTCCCAAGTAGTTGGGACTATAGGCACCTGCCACAACGCCTAGCTATTTTTTGTTGCCTAGCTAATTTTTGTTACATTTGGCTGGAGCTGGGTTCAAACCCTCCACCCTCAGTATATGGGGCCAGCGCTCTAACCCCTCAGCCAGAGGCACTGCCTTCAGTTTTTATTTTTTTGGGGGGGACAGGGTCTCACTAAGTCACCCTCAGTACAGTGCCATGGCATCATAGCTCATAGCAACCTCAAACTCTTGGGTTTAAGTGATTCTCTTGTCTCAGCTTCCCAAGTAGCTGGGACCACAGGCGCCCACCATAACGCCTGGCTATTTTTTTGCTGCAGTTGTCATTGTTGTTTAGCTGACCCAGGCTGGGTTCAAACCCACCAGCCTCGGTGCATGTGGTCAGCACCATAACCACTGTGCTACAGGCGCCGAGCCATTCGTCTGTTTTTAGATGTAGGATTTTCAGCACATAAGACAGTTGCCCAGTCCTGTGGCTCCAAGTGCTACGCTCTTGCCACCACCCTGGACGGCCTCTTCCTACCCACTGTGGGCACCAGACTCCCTACTGGTCCTGCTTTCTTTTTTTGCTCCCAACTCCTCACCTCTCTGGCATATTCTTCTTGCTCAGTCCCCACAGGGATGACCACAACCTGGAACGGGGACAGCCACAGTGGCCTGGTTGAGAGAGAACAAATGAAGGCAAATTATTCATTCTGGCTATAGACACAAGTGTGGTTGCAGGGAGCGGATTTTTTTTTTTTTGGTAGGGACAGAGTCTCACTCTACCCTCAGTAGAGTGCCATGGCATCACACAGCTCACAGCAACCTCCAACTCCTGGGCTTGGGCAACTCTCTTACCTCAGCCTCCTGAATAGCTGGGAGGACCACAGGTGCCCACCATAACGCCCGGGTTTGAACTTGCTACCCTTGGTATATGGGGCTGGTGCGCTACCCACTGAGCCACAGGCACTGCCCAAGGAGCAGATTTGAGAAGGAAAGAGAAGCTGGCATATGAAGGGGAACAGGATCTGGAGCACGAATGATCCAGTCTGAGAGCCAGAACAGAAATCCAGGGTCAGAAGCTCACCATTTCCCTCCACAGCTTTCTGCCAACACTCCCAACAGCCTTTCCACAGAACCAAGTATTGCTCGGTGAATGAGGACTGGACGCTCCAGGGCCCCTGCCTGCCTTGGAAGGAAAAAGGGGAGGAGGTAGAATGTCAGAAGTACCACAATTTGTGCATCCAAGGTCACCTTCCAGTTTTCTTTTTTTTGAGACAGAGCCTCAAGCTGTCGCCCTGGGTAGAGTGTCATGGCATCACAGCTTGCAGCAACCTCCAACTCCTGGGCTTAAGTGACTCTGTTGCCTCATCCTTCCAAGTAGCTGGGACTACAGGTGCCTGCCACAATGCCTGGCTATTTTTTGGTTGTAGCTGTCATTGTTGTTTGGCAAGCCTGGGCTGGATTCAAACCCACTATGTGGCTGGTGCCTTAGCTGCTTGAGCTACAGGTGCTGAACCACACCTTCCAGTTCTTAAGAAATATTCAGTTCTGGCAAAAGATAGTGTAGAAGACTGATTTACTTTTTAAGGTTAAAAGTAAAGGGGGTGATATTGACCTATTCCATGGGCTGTGGAGGGAAAGGGGAGGGGGGCAAGTTTCTGTACCCCTTGAACTGGAGGCCAAATCTCAAGGGCAGTTGGAAGTCAAGTTGGATTGTCCCACACTGATGGGGCCGACCCAGGGCATCGCGGAGGTGCACATCAATCTGGAAGGGACAGAAAGAAGGCATGTGAGCACCTAGAACCAGCACCCTCACTACACATGCTGGTCTACCATTTAACCTGCTCAACAACCAGGCTATCTGAAGAGTCAGGTCACCCAGCTATACATACTCTATCCCTCTGCTGCACTCTCCTTTACCCACTCAACAGATATTCCACTGAATAATGGTGTTATAATATTAGGTGACATCCATACCCTGGCCTCTCAATTGCATGCTCCTCATCTCAAGAGACCTTCACCTGGAACCATACTGTGGCTACACTCTTCGTCCTATCATCTTCCCCAAGGCTGTACCTCTGAAAACGGTCTGCCAGCTCTCACAATTATTCCTATTACTCTCTCTTCCACCCACAGATCCCTTACCCACTCTTTTTCCTTCCTATTTGCAGGCTCCTCCTGCTTCTGTCTCCTCCCCATGCAGTTGCACCCACTCTCCCTGGTTCCTCTGTGTCAGTCATTCTCTATCACACTGCAGGGCAAACCTGACCCTAGTGGCCCCTTAACTTCCTATGTCCTTGGCCCTGGAACAGAACCACTCATTACTGCCCAACATGTCCCATACCACACAGATGCAAAAGCAGAGGTTGACGCCACCATGGAAATCACTGTTTCGAGACTCAACTGATCCCTGTTGCTGCCTTCAATCTTTTTTGCCCTCAGTAGAGTGCCATGGCATCAGAGCTCACAGCAACCTCAAACTCCTGGGCTTAAGCGATTCTCTTGCCTCGACCTCCTGAGTAGCTCAGACTACAGGCGTAGTCTGTTGCAGTTGTCATTGTTGTTTAGAGGCCTGGGCTGGGCTTGAACCCACCACTTTTGGTGTATGTGACTGGTGCCCTACTCACTGAGCTATGGGCACCGAGCCATCCTTTCTCTCTTTTAAAAATGTTATCTTAGTAAAGAGTTTACTAGATTGATTTGAGATAATGAACACTTTATCCCTATTATCTCTGTAACCCTAAGCACATCCAGGGCCATCCAACCTGAGGATATGGATTATGTGAGGACTGTTTTGCTTATCTATGGTGTCAGATACTGCCAAAACTATCCACAGGCATTTTTGAGCTCATCAGCTTTCACTGTGTTTGTGCATTTAACGTGTGGCCCAAGACGATTCTTCTAATGTGCAGCAGAAAAAAAGTTGGACATTCCTGGTGCCAAACCTTTTTCTTCTTAGTAACATGAAAATATTTTACTTTCCTAGTATTACTGCTGAAATTGACCAATAAAACATATTTTCATTATTTTTTTCATATTTTCAGATACTATTTATTCAGCAGCCTCATAAATATCATGTGCTAGAACAGATATTTGTGAGATAAAAGAGTAATACTTGAATAAATTACCCCCGCACAGTACACAGCAGTATTAAGCACTGAAAATTTTACCTATATGGTTCATGTAAGAGTTTTGAGTTATTTTACTGGCAACTCTCCTCTCCTCCACTCCCATTTCAGCAAATAATTTTGCTCCTTGCTCACAGAGAATTAAGATAACTAATGTCACAGTATTGGAAAATGCCTTCAACTTCCTGACACCACACTTAAAACTTCCTGCCTTTCCTTCTCTTAGCCTTTCCACTCTGGATATGATGGGAGTGGTAGTCCCTTCTGGGAAGGGCTCTCAAGCCCACCCCAAGCCTCCCAAGCAACTTCCCTCTACTGTAACTCCTCCCACTCGATTTTTCTCTCCAAAATACACTTCCTCTCATAATAGCATTTAAACATTCTCAAATCTCGCCCTTAAAAATTCTCTTTTGATAAGCTAGGCCCCTTTAGGTACTCTCTCTTGCTGTTATAAGGAAAGACTTATATTCATTCACTTGTCTGACTCCATTCTCAGGCCCCAGTTCACTGAAAATGGTCCAACTTGCCACATTGAGTTTTCATCCCTACCCCCTGCCTCTGCTTTTACACTGTTATCTCCTGAACCACATCTTTACTTGGTGAACAATGAGCCACCTTTCAGACTTGGGGGTGATTCCTGCAGAATTACTTTTCTGACTCCCAGAGTAATGCTGACCCCCACAGCCCCAACACATTCTCTTAGTACCTATTCAGCACTGATCCCACAGCACTGACACAGCCTATTACCTTCCTTAGCCCTCACTAGAACAAGTTTTATGGGGGGAGGAAATGTATTTTTCTTCTTTATATCCTAAATAAGTTTAGAAATATTTCTTTTTACCTATTAAATATTAAATAAAGCAAAAATAAAATGAAATAAAAAATAAAGCAATAACTAGTGTTGCCAGCTTACCTTAGGCCCATAGAAAGCACCATGTCCAGAGTTGAAATCCCAGGGTTCTCCAAATTCCTCCAGAGCCCGCTGAAGGACCTGTAAGGGGATTGAGACAAGGAAGAGTATATTACCTTAGACTTCATAGTAACACATCTCTCTATTCCCTAACAAACAACCCCTCAGGCTCGGCGCCTATAGCTCAACCGGCTAAGGCGCCAGCCACGTACACCTAAGGTGGCGGGTTCAAATCCCCAGCCTGGACCCGCCAAAAGAACAATGACGGCTGCAACCA